GGCGGGGCCCCCCAGAAGCTGCTGCCGCCGCCGCCCGCCGGCCGCCCGTCCCCCGTGCCCCCGGCCGTGCCCCCGGCGTCCCCCGGGCCCCCGCCGCCCTCGCCGGGGCAGCCGGCGCCGCCGGCGCTGCCGATCCACCCCAAGCAGAACCGGATCACGCCCATCCAGAAACCGCGCGGGCTCGACCCCGTGGAGATCCTGCAGGAGCGCGAGTACAGGTACGGTCCCGGTGCAGGTACGGCCCCGGTACAGGTACAACACCAGTACAGGTACAGGTACGGCCCCGGTGCAGGTACGGCCCCGGTGCAGGTACAGGTACGGTCACAGTACAGGTACAGGTACGGCCCCGGTGCAGGTACAACCCCAGTACAGGTACAACCCCAGTACAGGTACAGGTATGGCCCCGGTACAGGTACAGTACAGGTACAGGTACAGCCCCAGTACAGGTACAGGTATGGCCCCAGTACAGGTACAGGTACGGTCACAGTACAGGTACAGGTATGGTCACAGTACAGGTACGGTCACAGAACAGGTACAGGTACGGTCACGGTGCAGGTACGGTCACAGAACAGGTACAGGTATGGCCCCAGTAAAGGTACAGGTACGGCCCTGGTGCAGGTACAGTCACAATACAGGTACGGCCACGCCCCGGTGCAGGTATGGCCCTGGTGCAGGTACAGCCACACTCTGGTCAGGTACAGCTCCAGTACAGGTATGGCCACGCCCAGGTACAGGTACAGCCCCAGTACAGGTATGGCCACGCCCAGGTGCAGGTACAGCCCCAGTACAGGTACGGCCACACCCAGGTACAGGTACAGCTCCAGTACAGGTATGGCCACGCCCAGGTGCAGGTACAGCCCCAGTACAGGTACAGCCACACCCAGGTACAGGTACAGCTCCAGTACAGGTATGGCCACGCCCAGGTACAGGTACAGCCCCAGTACAGGTATGGCCACGCCCAGGTACAGGTACAGCCCCAGTACAGATATGGCCATGAGAAAGTTCTCCTTGGAGATTCCCAAGGTTTCTCCCATCTCCAACTGCCTCCATCCCGTTTTTACCCTTCCCAAGCTTCAGAGGGACGAGAGGAGAACTCTCCTTGGAGATTCCCAAGGTTTTTCCCTTTTCCAACTGCCTCCATCCCGTTTTTACCCTTCCCAAGCTTCAGAGGGATGAGAGGAGATCTCTCCATGGAGATTCCCAAGGTTTCTCCCATCTCCAACTGCCTCCATCCCGTTTTTACCCTTCCCAAGATTCAGAGGGATGAGAGAACGTTCTCCTTGGAGATTCCCAAGGTTTCTCCCTTTTCCATCTGCCTCCATCCCGTTTTTACCCTTCCCAAGATTCAGAGGGATGAGAGAACGTTCTCCTTGGAGATTCCCAAGGTTTCTCCCTTCTCCAACTGCCTCCATCCCGTTTTTACCCTTCCCAAGGTTCAGACGGACGAGAGGAGAACGTTCTCCTTAAAGATTCCCAAGGTTTCTCCCTTCTCCAACTGCCTCCATCCCGTTTTTACCCTTCCCAAGCTTCAGAGGGACGAGAGGAGAACGTTCTCCTTGGAGGTTCTTCCTGACCCTTCCCTGGCCATTCTCTGACCCTGCTGTGCCCTTAACCCCATGGAGATCCCCAAAACTCATCCCGGCTCCCCGCCCCTGCTCCCACACTCTTCCCAACGGGAGCTCGGTCAGGAAGGAGCCGAACTCACCCCAAAATTCCTCCCGCTCAGGCTCCAAGCGCGCATCGCCCACCGCATCCAAGAGCTGGAGAACCTGCCCGGCTCGCTGGCCGGAGACCTGCGGACCAAAGCCACCATCGAGCTCAAGGCCCTGCGCCTGCTCAACTTCCAGCGCCAGGTGAGCGCCGGCAGCGGGGCTCCGGCGGATTTGGGGTGACTCCGGGGGATTTTGGGAATTTGGGAGCCTCGGTTTCCCCTCTCAAAGAGCGTAGGGTCGCCTTCTTTAGGATATTTATTGTCCCAGGCACATTCTTCTCTCAAGGATTGTTCATAGGGCAGCACAGGGGGAAGAGAGACAAAACAATCAAACAATTTTTATTTCTACTCCTTGTTTTTCCCACGGGGAATGTGTTTGGGGAATTGTTTCCCTGGGGTGATGCTTGGTTGGATTCTGGTGAGGATCGTTGGAGCTGCTGGACAATCCAACCCACCTGGGGCTGGACTCTGAGCTGGTCACCAGTTGTGTTAAAATTAGATATGGTAGTTAGAACAATAAATTTGTAGCGTTAATATCTTATTTAAATAATTTATTAATGTATTTTAGCACAGTTACAATACAGAAATCATTCAGCTTTCTGACCCAGAGTCAGACATCACCATTCTTCCCCCCGGCCTCACCTGCACTCACAATAATTTATTTTTCTCTCACCCGTAACGTTTTCTCTCTGACTCGTTGAGCTCTCAGGTTGGCTGTGGGATTTTCTCTGCCCTCGGGCTGGTGTTTACGTTTTATACCAAAAACTGCACTTATTAAATTTACAGTAACGCCCCAATATTTGTAATTTATGTCAGACGTTGTGTCTCTACCTTGAACCGGTAGAGAAGTGTCACCAGAGGGACGTCCAGGAACGTGGTGGTGGCTCAGGGGGATTTTGGGGAGCCATTTGGACATCCAGGAGCTCCCTGGTGGCTCAGGGGATTTTGGGGAACCATTTGGACATCCAGGAGCTCCGTGGTGGCTCAGGGGCATTTTTGGTGGCTCAGGGGAGTTTTTGGGAGCCATTTGGACATCCAGGAGCTCCCTGGTGGCTCAGGGGGATTTTGGGGAATCATTTGGACGTCCAGGAGCTCCGTGGTGGCTCAGGGGGATTTTTGGTGGCTCAGGGGAGTTTTTGGTGGCTCAGGGGGATTTTTGGTGGCTCAGGGGGATTTTTGGTGGCTCAGGGGGATTTTTGGGGACCCATTTGGACGTCCAGGCCCACCGTGGTGGCTCAGGGGATTTTTGGTGGCTCAGGGGGATTTTTG